TGATTTTTTTTTTTTTTTGCCTACTGTTCATAGTTCACTTCTGAATTAAGCTTTCCTTCATCATCTCATGCCCCTGGCATGAATGGAATACTGTATTTGTATACATGTACATACCTCCTGATCATCATGCAGCATCTGACACAGTTCTTGGAATCAAGGAAATTGCTTAGCCATACTCCCATCCAAAATAACCTGTTGCACATTCATGATTTAAACCTACTGTTTTAGAACTAAGATATTGCTCACATTCTAATATATTTCATTTAGGTCCCTTCTCTGCTTTCTATTTCTATTCAATTTCATCTTTTTTAGAGAAAAGTAGGAAAATATATCTATTGTATTCAGGTAGCATTCTCAAATGGAAGGCTAGACACATAATATCCATTTAGGTACTTGCCATCAAGCATACTGGTGAAGCTATTGCCTACCATCCTCTCTCTACCCACCTAGAAGCATATCCATTTTTCATAAGATTTAAATGGAACTTAGAGGCCATCTAATCTAGTCAATACAGGATCTAGTCAATACAGGATCCACTAGAGCATCTTTGACAGATGTTCATCCAGACTCTGTTTGAAGACCTCTAGCAAGGGAGAATTTACCATTTTATATGACAGCCTGTTCCACTTGATGTCTAACCTGAACCTTCTCCTTTGTAATTTTAACTATTGGTTCTGCCCTCTGCGGTACCAAAATGAGCACTCTTTGTTTTGTCAGACAACCCTTCAGATATTACTGCTGTCATATCTTCCCTCAGTCATCTTTTCTGTAAGCTAAACATACCCAGATCTTTTAACCATTCTTCATAGGACTTGATTTCCAGACCTCTCAGTGTCTTGACAGCCCTCCTCTGAACTTACTTCAATTTGTCACTGTCATTTATGAACCATGGTGTTCTGAGCTGGAGACAGTACTCCAAATGAGGTCTGGTCACAGTCACAATTACTTTCCATGATCTGGACTCTGTGCTTCTGTGGATGCACCCCAAGATAGCGTGTGCTTTTTTAGCAGTTGCATTACATTGCTAACTCATGTTTGTGGTCATGCAAGCCAGGTCTTACCCATCCTATAATTGTGCCTTATAGTTTTCCTATACATGCAGAATTTTGAATTTTCTCAATTAAATTGTTCATTTCAGCCCACTGCTCAAGTCTGTCTTGATTTTTTTGAATCTCTCTTTTATGTAAAACATTAGCCACCCTTCCCAATTTTGTATTGTCTGCAAACTTTATAAACGTCTCTTTAATTCCCTTATTCAGGTCACTGATAAAAATGTTAAACAGTGCATGACTTAAGACAGTGGCCTGTGGCATTCCACTCAATATTTCTTTTCAAGTTGAAGTTGAAATAATTCAGGAGCGCTCTTTGAGTACAGTCATTCAGTCACCTGTGAGTTTAACAGTACTATTATCTAGGCCATGTTTTGCCATTTTATTAATGCGAATATAATGAGGTATTCTGTCAAAAGCTTTACTGAAATCCAGATATACTATGTCTACACCATTATTCTGACCTACTAAGTTTATAACTGTCACAGATAGAGATTGGGTTGATCTGGCACAATTTCTTTGTAACAAATCCATTCTAACTCCTGCTAGTTGTAACACACCAATCCAAGTGCTTATAAACATACCGCTTGATAATCATTTTAATGAACTTGTCCAGCATAAATATCAAGCTGGCAAGTCTGTAGTTTCCTGTGTCTTCCCCTTTTCTGAAGATCGGGATGACATTTGCTATCCCCCAGGCTTCTGTGACCTCATCAGTACCTCAGGAGTTCTTAAAGTTTACCAGAAGTGTTTCTATAATCACCTTTCTTAGTTCCTTCAGTTCCCTGAGATATAGAAGTGGTTCTCGGATTACAACCACTTGTTCAGCAATTGTTCAAACCTACAAGGTGCTAAACAAGTGGTAGTTACGACTGGTCTTCGGAGTTCCGGCCATTGCAGCATTCCCTCGGTCACATGATTGCAATTTCTAATGTTCCCTGCTGGCTTCCCACAAGCAAAGTCATTGGGGAAGCTGGCAGGTAGTCAGAAGTCATGCTCACGTAAGGTCTTCCTTAATGACCTGCATGGTCCTTGCTTAATGACAGCAACTGGGACTACCGGAACTGCTGTTACTAAGCAGCATGGTCATGTGACATTGTGCTTTACAACCGTGTCACTTAGCGACAGCAATTCTGGTCCCAATTGCCATTGTAAACCGAGGACTACGTGTAATCCATCTGGCCCCAAAGACTTGAATTTGTTTAAATTAGCTAAGTTCTCATGCTTCTCCGTATCTATCCTAAATTGCAATTTCTTTGTTCTCCTAGTGGCATAATGACCAACTAGGGCTCTATTTCCCTTTGGAAAAAAAAGACAAGCATAAAAGAAGAGTTCAGAAGTTTTGCCTTCTCACCATCATCAATTCACCACTTTCTTTGTTTTTTAATTGTTTGCAGAAGTTTCATTACCCAACACCAGACAAACAATCAGGCAGAAAACAATACCCTAATCATGGAACTACCAAGGAGAAAATCACACCCCCACCAAAACTGGTAGGGCAAACTACTGCATATAAACAGGGAGCAAATCCCACATTTACTCACACTGATGATGTTACCTAGTTGGGTAATGAAATGTCTGCAAACAACCAAGCTCAGAGAGCACCAAGGACTCATAGTTCAACCCTGAGCTACATATATTCTCTTCTATTAGAATCTTGAAATGCTATCAAAGCAGTTTATTGGATCAACTTATACCTAGTATAATTAAGATAGAATTATTCTGAGTCTGTTTCTCATATTCCACCCCACCTCCCCTGGACTGCAGAATCTTTTCTATAACAGCCCATGTCCTTCCTGTAATGGTCTTGCTCCCTCCTCTGTTTTCTTAGGGTCTGTTAGACATTCCATCATAGTTGTCATGGCCCAGGACTCAGATTCTGAAGAAGCTGCTTCAGCTGAACCTGTGGAACGTCAGTCTTAAGAGACACAAAGCCAAGAATCACCTGAGGTTGATCAAACACAGGCACCACCTGAACAGCTGGAACGATCAAATGATAATGACATAAGCTTCCAAGTCTTCACACCAGGCAAGTAGAGTGGAGAACAGAGCAGACATTCTGTGAGGCTCCTTGCCAAGCAAGGGAGTAATTTTTTTAATTAAAGACAGCTGGCTGCAGCCTGATTTAAGAGGCAGCCCTGACCCGTGTTCCTTTGTTAGAACAACTGTCTGATCTTCTACTCTGCTGCTCCTGTGAATCTTGCTTGTGAAACTCTGACCTTAGACTGGCTGACAAACCTGACTTGGCTGTCTGAACTTTGGACTGGGTTTTGACTACTCTTCTGTGTACTCCTGTTGAAAGTGAAACCATTCAGGCAGGCTTTCTTTCCAAGAGACTTCATTGCTTTACATTTCTTCCCTTGTCTGCTGTTATCTGCTCAGCCTTGAGTAAATTGCTTTCTTCACCTACACCACCAACTGTGCAACTTCCTCACGTACACCTCACCAACTGTGTGTGAGTTTAAGACTTGAAACAGGACAATAGTTCCTCCTCTGGATATCACAAATTCAAGAATAGCATGATTAATTTTCCCCTAAATATAAAATATACAAAATACAATCAATTTCAGATGCAAAAGCTGCTAGAAATAATTGGACATGCCACAGAAAATAAGCCTAACATCCTGATAATGTGTTCTAGTTTACTGATTCCTACTGCTTTGTGATTCAGTGGTTATTTGGATAAACCTTGCTTCCTGCAGATTTAAGCAGTTAATCAGAGGTGTATGAGCAATGATCCTTTGCTGCTTTGATTTCTTGGAGGCTTCAGGGGTCCAATCCAGAATTTCCTCCCTCATCTCCCTTCTTTCTCCCAGGAGATCAGTGCTCTCTGAGGCTTGTCCAGTCCCCATCTTCTCCTTCTCTCACACATCTTGCCTTTCTTCCTGGCCTGTCTCTAGACCAAAGCTTTTTATCAGAACAGGTAAGTTGGAGGAATCTCATTTTGGGCTTACCTGGGCAAGCTGCTCCTCCCTCCGGGCAGGGATTCCAAAAATGACTGAACTTTTTCTTTCTCTAGCCAGAAGGGAGAGGTTTTAGATAATTTCCCTGTCTGCATATTATCAGGCATATTTTATTAGTAAGGGAGACAGGGGACATCTTTTCCCTTCTCCAAGAAGTAATTATTAACTTTTATCCCTGCTTCCACAGTGAGAAATTGGGTGTGTCTGGGCCCTGGCAGACAATTACTGTGGATAGGGAGGAAACTCCTCTACTCTTAAGTGTACCTTGAATGAAAGGGGCTTGTCCATTTACTATAGCATGTTAGTTGGTTCTCTGAATTATTGTTCTGGTTTTGAAAATGAATTCAAACATACTACTTGTCTATATGGAGATGCATATACTAAAATTTGGATTGGAAACTCCTCATTGGTGAATAGTTTGATATTATCTTAAATGTTATTGTCTGAAGTAAAGGCATTCAAGTCAGTTGGACAGCATTACAATGAACACTGGCTTCAATTACAATTTACTATTTCAGAATATTTTTATGATAATTTGGAAATAACAGTCTTTAAAGAAAGAAATAAGAGAATTGAAAGTAACTAAAATGGATTGGGCCATCACAAGTCAGAGTAGTTAGCTGATCTTGACTGATCTCTGAAGCTAAGTAGGTCTGCTCTGGTTTGTACTTAAATAGAGGATTACTAGGGAATTCCAGGGCTGTTGGCTAGACTGGAAAGTTTAAAAATTCCAGAAAAAGGCATGGCAAATCACCTTTTTAACACTGCTGAGAAACCTGTATGAATGCAGTGACCAAGAGTGGAGTTTTACTTGATGGAGTGTTTATCTTACCATAAAAATGAGTGCTTTTGTTACAAATGGTGTATAAAAACTGCAGTGTTAAATTCTTTAGATGGGAACTAGAGTAATGTCCTATAAATTTTTTATAGTTAATGATACATTTCTTGGAGCAGATGAAACCAAATGTTTGTTCTGTATTTGCTTCAGGTCCTGGGTTAGCCCAGAATGGCTGCAGTGTCATATGATCAGTTGTTAAAACAAGTAGAGGCATTAAAAATGGAGAACTCAAATCTTCGACAAGAACTGGAAGATAATTCAAATCATCTTACAAAACTGGAAACTGAAGCATCTAATATGAAGGTATGAAAAATAATTTTACTTTAAAAGCACTTTGGGACTGTGGTTCAGGTTGTGTGGTTACATGAATTTTTCCCATAATGCAATGGATATTCAACTTTGTGCTTTTAGATAATTGATTTTCCCTTTAAAAATCCCTGTTGTTCCAGACCTATTTCATATACATACATACATACGTACATGTTACATATATGATACCTATATGTTACAATTTCTTAAGTATAATAGTTGGCGATTGTGCCGTAGTAATGGTGGAGAGCTGCTGCTTCATATTCTTTGTGTCTGTACTTTAGGAAAACATGTTCTAATGCTTCAATTTCATCAGAGGCACAGGGGCATCTTCTGTGTATAAAGGGTGTCTGATTATATCTACTGTCTATTATTGCAGAGGGAAAGGCATTGAAGTGTGTTCCAGGAAAGGCACAGTGATATTTGGAATTGAGTAATTTGTATAGGTATTGTGCAGGTTGCAGCTTCTGAGTTTTTAAATTTTATATCTTATCTCCTTTTTGGGACTATATTTTTTTAGTATTACATATCAGTCCCAACATTTGACTAGGAGTAAAGCAGTCTCAGTGGGCTCCTGCATTCCTCTTTGTAAATTGCTCCACACGTTATTTTAAGCCCCAATTTGGTAGGACTGTCTGAAGCTGCATTGGCTTTTTCTTCTTTTTTAACTTTTTAGAACTTAAAGCTCAAAAACTTAGTTTTAATAATTTAATAATGAAGGAATTCTAGGGAACAGAGCATAAGTAGAAGGTTAAGTTTACTTGTAATACGGCGTTTTTGTTTGTAAGTAAATGGCAAGGATCAGCAAGGCAGCATGAGTTCTTTGCCAAGCACTTTTATGATAGAATGCTGACTTTTTCTGCTGGTTTTTAAAATCTTATCCATGGAACTGTAAGATGTGGTTGGTCTTGCAAACACTAGTGTAAATTAAGTGCAATTGCTCAGCATGAGGTGCCTTTCTCAGAAACAAGGGAAAGGGAGAAGGGAGACAGCGAAAGTCACTTTTCCCAGGGTAACATTTACAGTTGTGAAGAAACACCACTGGTCCCTGTCTGGGTAGCTGGGTACTAAAGCAGGCAAAAAGCTTAGACTGGACTTTTTTTTTTTTTTTTAACGCAAAGAGCCTGTGGTTACACTGAATCAGCCATTATTTAATGCTGGGGAACTAGAACAGGAAGCTCAGACGTACCCTAAACTCAAGACTAAAGAAAATAAGGATTCCACACAACCTGATATTACCTCTTCCTTGGAAGAGATTCAAAACTATAGCTGTCCCATCAACCATGCAACAGTGGCTGGTAGTCTAACTATAATGGACATCCTCACCAAACAGGTCGACACCGTGTCAGACCTCCTTGAGAGACTGGATTATATGGACCAAAAAATTGAGGACCTAATTAAAAATGTAGGCCCCCTTCATGAGGAGCAAAGGAGAAAATACTTAGGAGCATTATAACCACTAGCCTCCCAGCACTTAAACCATCATAAGGTTATCCATCACAAAAAGCAGAAGGAGGCTGCAAAGCAACCAAGTAGTCCTCTGCTTAGGAAATTTTTAGTACAGTTGGAACTGCTGGAGTAACACAAACTTAAGTGATTTGATCTCTATGCCAATTATTACAATGCAGGAAGGTGCAATTTGATATTCACTCAGTGTTTTGGCCTCCAAATGTCATTTTTTACAAAAAAACTGGTAATCTCTTTTTATCAGCCCATATTCCAGGAAAACTTACCCAACTATGTAATGAGCTGCTCACACCTCAAATATAGTACAAAAAATGTTTTCAGTGTTTGCCAACCTTTAAGGACTGCTTGTGAATCAGAGGATATAGGTAGGGTTAGGGTAAGTAGCAAAGAAAAAAGTCAAGGAACAGAAAGTGCTGACAATCCCATCTTTATCACAGAAGCTGAAGGTGCAATTAAGAATACTAACTACCATCAGGCATATAATGGCCCCCAAAGAGAATTCTTTCAGAATCTCTCCAAACAGGAGGGGAAAGATGGATTTGGCAAAGAACATTGGGAGACTCCAAGGCTATGCATGAATCACTCAAAACTTTTGGAATTCCCAGCCTCAAGTCACAGAAGCAGCCAGTATTGTTACCAGCTCACCCCCTCAAGGAGGCAATCAGTTTCCTGCAGTCCTCCCACAATATCTCTAAGGAGGAAGACTGGGGAAATCCTGAACTACCACCCTATACCACACCATCAGAGAAGGGAAACTATACATCCTCAAGGAGAGAGTCTGTTTCCTCCCCACTGGAGCAAGAGATTACATATTGACACCTGTACACCTACTTTGCTCCAGAAATGGAGTCCCTTCTTAAGGGCCCCTACTCAGGGTAGCATATCTCCACTCAAATCCCTAACAACAGGAGTTGTCTCTGCCTTCCCTAAGGCTACCCCGATATGTATATCAAATAGAGGGGAAGAGACATTCCCACCCCTGCAGTCTGAGTCCTCAAAAGCACCTACTGAAACTACTGTCTTGGAACATTCCAGGACGGTTAGCTAAAATCTACAAATCTGTCTTTTATATTTTTTCCCAAGAATTTGATATTCTGATGTTGCAGGACATTTTGATTTACATCAATGATTTCTGTGCTTGTCTTAATATGGTCTTGCCAAGGAAAGGGTAGGATTAAGGGATGCATGGGTCTTTTAGTTTCAGCCAACTTGCCAGCTAATGTAGTTCAGCTTCCCTTTCATGCTGTGGTGGCTGTGCTTGAAATTTTAATCAACATGTAATACTATGGACAGGTGAAACTCGAAAAATTAGAATATCGTGCAAATGTTCATTTAT